TGTTAAGGGCTTGGATGGGGAGGTTGTTAAATGTGTTCAAGAAAACTTTCAATCAATGTGTTGATGGACCTACTAAAGAAGATGGAAAACTCAACCTCCTCTTGGGAAATAAGGCAGGACAAGTGACTGAGGTATTAATGGGGTAGCACTTTGGGACCAGTGACCATAATTCTACTGGTTTTAAAATAGCTACGGAAAGGGATCGCCCTGGTCCACAAGTTAAAGTTCTAAATTGAGGCAAGGCCAATTTTGATAGTATTAGACGAGAACCTCTAAAAGTTGATTGAAGGAGGCTGAAAACAAAGGGAAGCCTGGCAAGTGGGAGGCTTTCAAAAGCCTCGAGAATTCAGGGACAGCATGTTCCTGTTAGTGTGAAGGGGAAGGTTGGCAGGAGTAGAGAACACTGGATGACTGGAGATATTGAGGCTCTGGTCAAGAAATAGAAAGAGGCATATGTCAGGTATAGACAGCTGGGATCAAGTGAATCCCTTGTGGAGTATGGGGGTGTAGGATTGTTCTTAAGAGGGAAATAAGGAAGGCAAAAAGGAGACATGAGATAGCTTTGGCAGATAAGGTTAAGGAGAATCCAAAGAGTTTTACAAGTATATTAAGGGCGAAAGAGTAACTAGGAAGAGAATAGGGCCCCTTTAAAGATCAGAGAGGCCATCTATGTGTGGAACCACAGGAGACAAGTGAGTCCTAAACAAATATTTTGCGTCAGTATTTACTGTTGAGAAAGATATGGAAGCTATGGAATTCGGGGAAATAAATAGTGATGTCTTGAAAAGAGTCCACATAACAGAAGAGAAGTTGCAGAGGTCTTAAAATGCATAAAGTTTAGATCACATGGGATGCAGAGAGACCTAACCAATTGTATATAAAATTGGCTTGACGGTAGGAGACAGAGGATAGTGATATAGAGTTGTTGTTCACCCTGGAGGCTTGTGATTAGTAGTGTGCCCCAAGGATTGGTGCTGGATCCACTGTTGTTTGTCATTTATATAAACGATTTGGATGACAATATAGGAGGCATGGTTAGTAAGTTTGTGGACGGTACCAAAATTGATATAGTGGACAGTGAAGTAGGTTTTCTAAGAATACAACGGGATCTTGATCAACTGGCCAGTGGGCCGAGGAATGGCAGGTGGAGTTTAATTTAGATCAATGTGAGGTGTTGTATTTTGGTAAGGCAAATCAGGGCAGGACTTATATACTTAATGGTAGGGCCCTGGGGAGTGTTGTTGAACAGAGAGACCTAGGGGTGTGGGTACATAGTGACATCACACATAGACAAGGTGGTGAAGAAAGTGTTTGGCACGCTTGCTTTCATCAGTTAGAGCATGAGTACAGGAGTTACAATGTCATGTTATGATTGTATAAGACATTGATAAGGCCACATTTGGAGTGCTGTGTACAATTCTGGTTGCCCTGCTATAGGAAGGATATTATTAAACTGGAAAGGGTACAATAAAGATTTACAAAAACATTACCGAGACTGTAGGGTTTGAGTTATAAGGAGAGGCTGGATAGGTTGGGACTGTTTCCCTGGATCTTGGATGCTAAGGGATGACCTTTATAGAGTTTTATAAAATCTTAAGGGCATAGATAAGGTAAATAGGAAAGGTCTTTTCCCCAGGGTACGGGACTCCAAAACTAGACAGCATAGGTTTAAGGTGCAAGGGGAAAGATTTAAAAGGGACTTGAGGGGCAACTTTTTCACACAGAGGATGGTGCGTATATTGAACAAGCTGCTAGAGGAAGTGGTAAAGGTGAGTACAATTACAACATTTAAAAGGCGTTTGGACAGGTACATGGATAGGAAAGGTTTAAAGCTATATGGGCCAAACACAGACAATTGGTATGAGTTCAGTTTAGGAAACAGGGTCGATATGGACAATGGGACTGAAGGGCCTGTTTCCATGTGCATGACTCTGTGACCCAGTGGAGGTGATGTACAGTAGGCAGGGAGTTGCCTCAGCATTGAAGTCTCATGGCATCAGGTTAAACATGGGCAAGGAAACCTCCTGCTGATTACCACATATCGTCCTCCCTCAGCTGATGAATCAGAACTCCTCCATGTTGAATAACACTTGGAGCAAGCACTGAGGGTGGCAAGGGCACAGAATCTGGGTGGGGGATTTCACTGTCCACTACCAAGAGTGGCTCGGCAGCAGTACTGGTCGGGTCCTAAACGACATAGCTGCTAGACTGAGTCTACCGATTGTGGTGAGGGAACCAACAAGAGGGAAAAACATACTTGATCATCTTTACCAATCTGCCGTGTGCAGATGCATCTATCCATGACAGTATCAGTCCTTGGGGAGCTGAAGTCGCATCTTCACATTGCAAATTTCCTCCATTGTGCTCTGTGGCACTATCACCATTCCAAATAGGACAGACTTTGAACAGATCTAGCAACTCAAGCCTGGGCATCCATGAGTGCTGTGGGCCATCAACAGCAGCAGAATTGTGCTCCACCACAATCTGTAACCTCATGGCCCAGCACATCCCTCACTCAACCATTACCATCAAGCCAGGTTCAATGGAGAGTGTAGCAGGGCATGCTGGGAGCAGCAACAAGCTAATTAAAAATGAGGTGTTAACCTGGTGAAGCTATAAAACAGGGCTGCTTGCATACCAATCAGCATAAGCATCAAGTGATAGACAGAGCTAAGCAATCCCACAAACAATGAATCATATCTAAGCTCTGCAGTCCTGCCACATCCAGTCATGAATGGTAGTGGACAATTAAACAGTTCACTGGAGGAGGAGAAGGCTCCACAAACATCCCCATTTTAAATGATGGAAGAGCCCAGCACATCAGTGCAAAAGATAAGGCTGAAGCATTCGCAGCAATCTTCAGCCAGAAGTGACAAGTGGCTGATCCAGCTCTCCCTCCACCAGAGGTCCCCAGCAGCATAGCTTCCAGTCTTCAGCCAACTCACATGATACCAAGAAATGGTCAGAGGCATTGGATTTTTTATTCATTAGTGTGAGCATCTTGGGCTAGGCCAGAACTTATTGGCCATTCCTAATTGCCCAGAGGACAGTTAAGAATCAACCACTTTGTTGGGATCTGACAACATTGCAGCAATAGTACTGACAACTTGTGCTCCAGAACTTGCCACACACCTAGCCAAGCTGTTCCAGTATGGCTACAACACTGGCATCCCCTGACAATGTGGAAAATTGCCTACAGGTCTCCTGTACACAAAAAGCAGGACAACTCCAATCCAGCTAATTTCCGCCTCATCAGTCTACTCTTGATCATCAGTAAAGTGATTAAAGGTGTCATCAATAGAGTTAGCACTTACACAGGAATAACCTGCTTAGTGACATCCAGTTTGGGTTCCATCACACACCTCATTACAGCCTTGGATCAATCATGAAAAAAAGAGCTGAATTCCAGAGGTGAGGTGAGGGTGACAGCCCTTGTCATCATATATACAGTCATATATCAAAGCCGCATTTGACTAAGTGTGGCATCAAGGACCCCTTGCAAAACTAGAATCAATGGGAATCAGAGGAAAATCTCTCCATGGGTTGGCACATAGGAAGATGATTGTGATTGTTGGAGGTCAGTCATCTCAGCTCCAGGACATCTCTGCAGAAATTCCTCAGGGTAGTGTCCTAGGCCCAACCATCTTCAGCTCCTTCATCAATGACATGAGATACAATCTGGTGCAATGGTGGGTAGGCTCCCTGTCTGTGTGCACAAAGCAGCTCTGCTGCAACTTCTTGATGCTAATTGCTGGTGACCCCTGCAGTGCCAGTCTGTTTTTCCTGAATGTTCTGCAAGTGTATCAGAGATATGTTGTAAATGGCAGATGCCAAAGTCCTTGGATGAGGGGTGCATGCAGCTAGTGCTTGTTGCTTGTGCCCTAAGATGCTGTTTAGCCCTGAGCAACACCGACATCCTTCAGAGCAAGTGGCAATCTGAATTCACCTGCTAACCATTCTGAAATCCAGGTCAAGTTTTCTTGATGTCATGCATATTTGGTAATATAGGAAGCTGAATATTAATGTGGTGAGTTGGGCTGTTAACAAGGCGTTTCATTGGCAAAAATCTTCCTTAAAAGGCTACTCATTGCTGCCTAGTGAGAAACTCACCACGCTTCTTGTGAAAAGCATGAAAGATGAAGCAAGATACTTACAACGTTCCTCAGACTGTTACAAGATTATGTTCTGTGTTTCCACACTCCTGCGTCAATTGTTGAGTTAAGAACCTATGTATAAGAACATAACTGAAGCAGGACTAGGCTATTCAGCCCCTTGAGCCTGATCAACCATTCCGTAAGATCATTGCTGATCTGATACAACATTAATTCCACTGTGCTGTCTGGCCCCCATAACACTGGTTACTCTAAAATATGACTAACTCAGCCTTGTATAAATTCAATGACCCAGTGTCTGCTGCCCGGGAGGGGTCAGGAAGAGAATTCCAATGACTTATGACCCTCAAAGAAAAGAAATTTCTCCTCATCTCTGTCTTAAATGGAATATGTCTTATTTTGAAACTGTGAACCTTAGTTCTAGACAAGTCACTTTCAGGGAGAAGGATAGAAAGTGAAGGGGAAATAGGGTGCAGAAAGACAGAGACTCATGCAATTAAATTGACTCCTTGAATATTTTTATGGTGGGTTTATAAATGCTTATCAAGCGAGGTGTTGAAATTACCAGGGGTAGGAGAGAATGTGGACTTTAGGTTACAGTCAAATCAACCATGATCTTAATAAATGAAGAAGCAAGCTCAAGGGGCCGATTAGCCTACTCCTGCTCCTTGTTTGTATGTTCATGTGTGCAGCAGCCGAGATGTAAATATGAATATTAAAAACAAATAAGAAAGTGAATGATTTTTCAAATAAATTGAAGATTTGAAAGGTGAATTAATGAGATTCTCCACTCTGATCCAGGCATTTTTTTTGCCCCAACCTTCACTTGCTGTTAGTGACACCCACCCTACATTAATTGGTTGTTCCTCACTCCTCCTCCAGATATCAATTGGTTGCTTTGGTGCTCCTCCCCCTTCCAGATCCTCAGGGCTAGGAAGGGTACCAGCACCAATAAAGGCAGAAGTCTCGTATCCCTTTGCAGTATTCTTCCTGGTCATAAGGCAAGAGAGTTCTGTGTGAGATAGTAAGTGGGGCTTAGCAATTAAGGAGTATTAGGAAATAGGGTTTGTGCTTTATTTAAATTGGTTGGAAAATGTTTGGTTTTTAAAGTTAAATATTGTAATATTTCTTTGTTGTTGCTTTAAAGACTTTAGTTTGTGTTGAATTTAATAAAGTTTTTGTAATTTCTTTCAAACTAAAGGGCTGGTTCTGGTATGTTAAGCTAATTAGTCTAAAATGTATTATGCTTTGGGTCTGTCTGTCTGTCTGTTATGAAAAGTTTTCCCCTGTTGCCTGCAGATTCTGAGCCATGGCCGATGATGAGATTGCAGCTCTGGTGGTCGACAATGGGTCTGGGATGTGTAAAGCTGGCTTTGCAGGTGATGATGCTCCCAGGGCTGTGTTTCCCTCCATTGTGGGACGCCCCCGTCACCAGGTGAGCTCTGATTTTTAACAGAGGTTTTGTTTTGGCCTTCTCTGGTGTTGTGTGGGGAACTTGATCCCTCTTGTAAACATACCAAACCTCTCTAGCCTTCTATGTAGTCTGTCTCCTTTAACTGCACTGTATTGTATGCTCTAAGAGCAGTTTATATTTGTTGTTCCCTAATTAACATCAAAGCAGACTTAAATCATTTGGAAACCTGAGTTGCTGCCTTGCTATGTGGTGAGGGTAGAGTTAAGATTACACTTGGTCATTCCTTTCCTGATTTCTCAATCCTGTAGCTGAGAACAAGTGTTGGCTGTCTGTTCCTCCCACAAATTCCTCCAGTGAAGCACCCAATTTTTTTTTTTTCTTAATTGAAGCCCTACATTTCCTTAATCTCCTGGTCTCTTTAACCAACTGCCTCTGGATGAGGCAGTGGAGGAGGCTGTTCTCTAATTGAAAAGTAGATCTGTACCCTGACCCATTTTACTGCCAGTGTTCTACAGTCTTCATTCAGCAACCAGTTTCAAAATTCCTAATTGACCTCCAATTTTCTTGGGTGTGTACCCTGACTTTCAGGTCTTGTGCTTCCTGATATCATTGCTGAAAGCCTTGCTCTAACTGTTATGCTAGCCACTTTTTTTTTTTTTTAAGGCATTTTTTCCCCTGAGAAGGAAACAACTTATTCAGACCCCCAAATATAGATCTGGTGCTCAGCACATTTCTTTTAACCTGGCTTTTCTAGTGTTAGTTACACTCCTGAGCTAAGACTTGTGCATAATTCAAAAGTTGAACCAATATTTAGTTAACATTTTGTTGTTCCTTTTTTTTTGCCATTATGAAGATATTGCTCATTTGGACTTTTACAATCTTTTTCTCTCTATATATAGAGGCAGCCACTGTGCTGTTGGGGAAGGGCTTGAGGGTTTGGTTAGTGGCAGAACGAAGTGCTCCAAGTCAGTATGGTGTGAACTGGAGTGGAACTTGCTGGCAGTGGTGTCATCTGTCCTTGGCCTCACTGTCGTAGTAGTTCTGGTTCAGAAGGTGCTGCCAAAAGGCTTTGATGCATTACTACACTGCAATTTGCAGATGGTACACCCAACTATGTCACTGAATGGTTAAAGCCAAAGCTTTTTAACTTGCAATCTAGCAGTTTATGTAACTGCCTGATGCAAAGGGTAAATTCTAAGTATGCGTTTAGCAATTGGACTAACTGGTGTTACCATGGAGAATAATCTAGTTAAATAATTGACAGCTAACTAGAGTTTGCTTCAAATTTAACCCCCTGAAGGCATTGTCCTGACGAATGGTTCCTTTTTTTAAGTTAAGACAAGCGCTGGGCACTTGTTGCCTGCCAAGACAGGGCTGGGTGGTAACATGGAGCTCCCTTTACAAGCAACTGAGCTGAATGTCAATGTTAAATTGGGTTTTCTCCAAGTAGCATTCTTGGGATGGGCAGCATTTGCTGCCCAACACTTATGGGATACTGCAATTGGGCAGCAAGCCTGGTTGGGTAAAGTCAGTACCTTTTTTTTTATTTCCTGTAAAATGTTTCTTGCTGTCCGACACCAAACAAGCAGTGTTTGGACCTATGACCCATACACCTGGCATTACACCAGCACTGAAATTCCTATAGCACATCACTCGATGTAATAGGTAGAACGTAGTCTTGGTTTGACAGCAGCATACTACTGGTGATGAACGTGATTTGTTACTGCACCATAATCTGGCTCCCCTGTTAACAAACTTGAGTTTTTGCCCTAGTCTGAATCCACTTCTTTAGGAATGGAAGTAGTAGCCTAGACTCTATTCATGAGAGCTGACTACAGCAAGGAATTCTCAGCATGAGCCAATATCTTGCAGGATATCTTGTTTGTTATACAATGCCTTAACTATGCAGTCAATTGCCTGAGTTTGTTTTCTCTACATCCTTGTTGGGATGTGTGCTTTAATGGTTGGTCAGCACTCATTGCCCATCTCTAGTTCACCTTGTGGTGGTGGTGATGAGCTGCCGCTTCAAACTGCTGCGGGTAGGCCCAACACGTTAGGGAGGGAGTTCCAAACCTAGTTCCATCTAAAGACCAGTGGAACAGATACATGGGAGTGCTATCCAGAAGTTCCCCTTCAAACCACATGAATCCTGAATTGGAGAGATATTGCTTCGCTGTCAGTCATTCCCAGAATTCACAACCCCATCCCATGACTACAATGGTTCAAGAGGCAGCTCCCCACCTTTAAAGGGGAACCTAGGGACAGGCAATAAATGTTGGCCCACTGACACCTATGTCCCACAAGTGAGTTTTTGAAAAGACTGATGTCTCACTTGGGATTCTAAACCAGTCTGAACAAAGGCTTTAAAGTTTTTAATCTAGCAATCAATGCTTGAGTTTACTTTTTTGTTTGTATCTTGTTTCTCATTCTAGGGGGTGATGGTTGGAATGGGTCAGAAAGACAGTTACGTTGGAGATGAAGCCCAGAGCAAGAGGGGCATTCTGACCCTGAAGTACCCAATTGAACACGGCATTGTGACCAACTGGGATGACATGGAGAAGATCTGGCACCACACCTTCTACAATGAACTGCGAGTGGCCCCAGAGGAGCATCCTGTTCTCCTCACAGAGGCACCCCTCAACCCCAAAGCCAACAGGGAGAAGATGACCCAGATCATGTTTGAGACCTTCAACACCCCAGCCATGTATGTTGCCATTCAGGCCGTGCTGTCCTTGTACGCTTCTGGCCGTACGACTGGCATTGTGCTAGATTCTGGTGACGGTGTGTCCCACACCGTGCCGATCTATGAAGGGTATGCCTTGCCTCATGCCATCATGAGGTTGGACTTGGCTGGTCGGGATCTCACTGATTACATGATGAAGATCCTGACTGAACGTGGCTATTCGTTCACGACCACAGCCGAGAGGGAGATTGTGCGCGACATCAAGGAGAAACTTGCTTATGTGGCCCTGGACTTTGACTCTGAGATGCAGACAGCCAGCTCCTCTTCAGCCTTGGAGAAAAGTTACGAGCTCCCTGATGGCCAAGTCATCACCATTGGCAATGAGCGCTTCAGGTGCCCAGAAACCATGTTCCAGCCCTCCTTCATTGGTATGGAATCTGCTGGTATCCACGAGACCACATATAACAGCATCATGAAATGTGATGTAGATATCAGGAAGGATCTGTATGCTAATACTGTCCTGTCTGGTGGAACCACTATGTTCCCAGGTATTGCTGATCGGATGCAGAAGGAAATCACAGCCCTGGCTCCGAGCACAATGAAGATTAAGATCATAGCCCCACCAGAGAGGAAGTATTCAGTATGGATCGGAGGCTCCATCTTGGCTTCTCTCTCCACCTTCCAGCAAATGTGGATCAGTAAGCAGGAGTATGATGAGTCTGGTCCCTCTATTGTCCATCGCAAGTGCTTCTAACTTGCTGTAGG